TTCCTCTAAAATAGTATTACCAGCTGTGATGAACCTTATCCAACTCATCCAAAACTCTTCATATGTGAAGCTTGTGAACATAAGAAATGTATTTGTTTTGAACTTGAGTTTTTTCTCATAACTTCATCACTGTATTAAGATTTTGGGGTCACTTCATGACTGGAAGGAAGGAGGAACTTGTCTGTGTGTGCATGAGCTGTTCTCTTGAAGTAGCTGGAGGAAAGCATCAATCTGAAGTGTTTGCTCCTGAACTGCGTGAGGCCAGCATGGTTAGACTAGGAGCAGTGGGTGGTGTTCCCATTGGGTACCCATGCTAACTCTTCTTCAAATCACAAGACTAGACATGGAAGTGACATCGCTGTTGGTGGATTCAGTGCAAGGAGCACTCTGAGGTGCTGATACACCCTTGACTGGCTGAGGCTGGGTACAATTCCAGGCACTTTGCCTCTGCCCACCTTGGTGGTAGCCTGTGGGTATTTACTTTATGAGCAGAGGTTGTTGTATGTAACAGCGGAGCTGCAATGGAAATGACACTTTTATCAGTAGGATAGGCTTTTTTACCATTTTTAATGTGAGTTGCTTTTGTGAAGCAAAACTTCAAATAATGTTAATTATTTAAAATGGTAAAATTAACCCCATGTTAGGGAGAGGGCTCATGTATTCTTCAGCTCATCTGGAGAGCTCATTTGGTGACGACTTCACTGGTTTAGCAGTTTTTGTATATTTTTAGAAGTATAAAACCAAACAGATCTATAAACAAGAAACAGAACAGCTATAAGCAGAGAAGTAAATACAAAGTTGTTAGCTCAACATTTGTCTATAGCTGAATCTTCATTAACTTCCTGTATTCAATATACTTTTACCATGTATAGTCATAATATGTGTAAGAGTTCCCCTCCTTAATTAATGGCTTCTTTGCCTGGGACCAAAGTCATTGCTTTGTTTCATCAGAGCGTTTTGGACAATATCAAACTTTCTGTGCCTGACGGGTCAGAACAAAGAAAGACTTTGTTTCTACAAAGTGTGATAATTTTATTTTTATATAAACTGGTTCCTTGTTCTTTTTGATCAGAGATAATCCCCGTCCAGAGTTCTCCTACACTGCAGAAGACATTTGCAGATGGGATTATCACTGGATCAGATCTTCATAGTATGTGCAAGTAGTAGATTCAGTAGTTTGTAGGTTCCCATCCAGCAGGCTGCAGGGGAGAGAAGGCTTCATTGTGATTTTGTACTGTGCATCAGGATAACAGATTTTATGCTGGATTTTGAAAAGAGAGGTATTTCTGTCCTGAACTGTAGAAGAAACTACAAATATCCACAGAGTTTTACCCTTGAAAACTATTTTTGGTCTTTATAGTCTAAACATGACCTTTGATTTAAAGACATAAATGTTTAGACCAGTTTTAATATCCATATTTAGAGTGCCTAACACATGATGTTCTGTAAAATCCTACAAAATACCTCAAGCGCACATTTATCCCAAAGTAATTTGTTAATAAACAGCAATATGTATTGAAACAGTTGTGAACTGCTGACAAACAGCTTTGATATAGTGTTGTGGCATGACTGTTTCAAAGCCATGACATCTCCTGCATCTCAGTGGCATAAACATTGCTTGTGTCAGATCACAAAGTCACTCTGTCATAGTTGTGCAGGGAAAGTTCAGTTCAAAAATGGACATTTTTTACTTTCTGCTGGGTTGTGTGAAATTTGGACTCTGGCAACCAGAAGCAACTCTGAATCCCCAGATGCACATGTGCAAGCTACAAGGTCAGGAGTGGTGACAGCGGAGGACTGGGGGGACCACCACATTGTATGAGATATTCCTGTCTGCCCTCTATCCTCTCCAAGAAACAACTCTTTGCTGGCCCAGGTTTTCATTTTCCTCTTGGCTCCTGGTTTAACAAGGAGGCAGCGCAGCGCCTGGCAGGGTGAATGCCCATGCCTACTTGTTGCATGGTCTTGTCATGGGGAGGGCAGGATGCAGTGGTGCGGTGACACCACATCCTGCACACTCCACAAACTGTCATTTGATGCTGAGCATCATCTGAGGCTGCTCACAAGGACAATGCTGGGTGCTGATGGTGCTTACACGTTGTCCCCAGGCACACCTCCTCTATCTTTGTTGTGTTAGGGGAATTCCCTTACATCTAGGGAGAGTTAAACAATATACAAATATAGATCTCTCCAGCTCTTTTATTTTCCCTGGCTTAAGTTTGTATTTACTCCTCCAGTGACAATTTATATATGCCAGTGTAACTGAGGTCAGTATTTGGCTCTCTATTCCTTTTGCATCATCTGCAAACTGGAGATAGTGGTGTTTAGCAGGGCTGGGTGAATAATTCATGGCGTGGCTCCTTATTAAACAGATGTTGCCTCTCTGTTTACAGATAGTCTGAAAATGGATTGCATTTTTATTTTAAAATTTATTTGTTGTTCCATATTATTCACCAAACACCTTCTGTAAATTATTTTATTGGCCTTTGGTGCATTCAGAATATGAATTTGAAGCCTGCCTTAGATGCGTATTTGTTATTGCTGGTTAAAATTTTTTACTTCAGCAACTGTGCCTCCCAGCAAACTTGTCTCATAGAGCCTTCCTTAAAAGTAATACAAGGATGGCACAAACATGCTAAGAGTGAATGGTTAGGGAGTATTCTTTTTCTTTTACTACTGATGCAGATCTAATGCTAATCTGGCTCACTGGGTGTTGTGAAGATCAGAAAGATGTTTTCTGAATGTGAAATGATCCTCAATTAGGCAGTGATACTCCAGCCCTGGCAACTCTTCTTTCCTCTGCTTTAAGTATCAGGTGGTACATGATGGTGTATGGTTCAGCTACTGCTGAACACAGGGCAGGAGGTAACCATGAGAGGTAGTACTCTGCTGCGCTCAGAGCCCCAGGGCCAAGCAAGGATAGAATCACAGAATCATAGAATAGTTTGGGTTGGAAAGGACCTTAAGATCCTTAAGGACCTTAGTTCCAACCTCCGTGCCATGGGCAGGGACACCTCACACTAGACCATGTCATCCAAGTCTCTGTCCAACTTGGCCTTGAAAGCTGCCAGAGATGGACCATTTACTATTTCTTTGGGCAACCCATTCCAGTGCCTCACCACCCTCACAGTCAAGAACTTCCTCCTTATAGCTGACCTGAACGTCCCCTGTTTAAGTTTGAAGCCATTACCCTTTGTCCTACCACTACAGCCCCTAATGAAGAGTCCCTCCCCAGCATCCTTATAGGCCCCCTTCAGATACTGGAAGGCTGCTATGAGGTCTCCACGCAGCCTTCTCTTCTGCAGGCTGAACAGACCCAACTTTCTCAGCCTGTCTTCATACAGGAGGTGCTCCAGCCCACTCGTCATTCTCGTGGCCTCCTCTGGACTTGCCCCAATAGCTCCATGTCCTTTCCATATTGAGGACACCAGAACTGCACACAGTGCTCCAAGTGAGGTCTCTTGTTTATTCCCCATACCACAGGTGTTTGTATAGAGGCATCTGAGCTGAGCTCTGAATTAAGCCGACTTCAGTGGCTGAAGTAGCTCTGCATTGCTCTGAGGATTCATCACAAGTGCTGGCAGCTGACTGGTAGTGTTGGGATGAATCAGTGCCCCTGTCCTCCAACAAACCTAGTTTAAAGCTGCCTTGACCAGCTTGGCAAGTCTCCTACCAAAAGCATACCAAAGCATGATCTTTGACCATGCATGACCTTTGATGCATGAGACTAAGTCTGTGCTAATAAAAAAAATGAGTGAAGACCCAGTGAGCAAGTAGTATGGCATAGTTTGGTTCTCATCCATATGAGCACCGTATGGCTGAACTTTCCTTACTGGAAAAGTCCATACTGACTTATGGACATGGCTTGTGAGCTGTGCTATACTCCAAACCCTTCTTGGGATACTATCCTAGGATGCTGAACTTGTGCCACAGACTGTACAAGCACTATAGAGTTGTGAATGTCCCTGTCTTTGGGTCCTGGATAGTTTACAACATCTCTTCAGTGTCTGAATCAGTTCTCTATTGCAGTTGTCTGTTAGGTGTGTTTGACTTCAGCAGCATTGGTGATGGTGGTTTGGAGAAGTTATGTTAAAAATCTTGCTCAGACTACAGAGCAGAATTGCTCCTCTGCCTGCCCTTCCTCCAACTGCAGTTAGAATGCAATTTCTAAGATGATACCAGAGATGTAGAGCACAGAGTTTCCTTCTTCTCCAGCCTTTATTTTATTTTATTTTTTGCAGTAGTTTTGTTAGCCATTGCACTGAAACACCAACCTGTACCGTGTGAAGAGGACATGGATAGGTGCTGTGGGATTAGTACAACTGTATGAAAGTGCCCTCCTCCCACTGTAGCTGGTAAGAGGTGGGGTTAATTGTGGCAGCACTAAAGGCATGATGGCAAGAGATCCCGTTGCTGTAACCTGCATCTGGAGAGAGGCAGGTTGGGACTGAGGGGTCCTTCTCGTCAGATTAATCTTGCTTCTTACTTAAATTGTTGCCCTTTCATCCATAGCTGTTGTGAAGGAATTGAGATTGCAGAGGCTGGTGGTCATGAAGAAACCTCTCAGTGGCCCATGAAGGGGGTCACTTGGCCTGTGCCAAAGTAGAAAAGGGCTGAAGAGGAGGCGTGTTTTGGGTTTGGTTTGGTTTTCCTTACACAAGGGTGTTGGTGAAATATGTGAAGCCTGGGGGAGAGGATGAGGGGAGGCTGAAGGTGTCTGTGTGGTGTCCTGACCTGATTAACATCTCCCTGCCACTGAGAGAGATGATGTCCCCCTTTGCCCCATATGTCCACGTATCCCACCATTGCCTTGGAAGGCAGAGGTGGAGAGGGAAAAGTTGCACCCAAGTAAAATCTGAGTAGTGGGTTACATTTGACAGTTTGGAACAAGGGCAGCGCAGGTCTATTCTTCTTCAAAGCCATAGCTGCCAGGTGGATAAAGGAGTGGTTTTACATCCTATGGCATCTCATACAGTGTCATTTTGTTCTGAGCAGATAGGCTGGGGCCTCCTCTTGATATACTGCTGGATTCACTGAACTGCACAGCATTTAGCGTGCAATGGAGGATGCCAAAGCAGCATACAAGCACCATCACAGGATATACGGTAAGTGGTGCTCTATGCTGCTAACAGAGGACTGCAATATCCTACGTGGCCTCAGACTATGCATGCAGCATGGTGAAGCAAGGAGGAGAGCCTGTTCTTGTAACAAATAGCACCATTGCACAGAAAGTGGTCACAGGACAGTGGGCTTGAATGGATTGAGCTGTAACTTTAAGAAACAAGTAGTTCATGTTTGAGAAGCAAGCCATGATGGGAATTTGGGTTGGGTGTTAAGGGCTCACGGTGGATATAGATTGCTTTTTGGTTGTGGTTTTCATGTAAAGATCTTGGTGCACTCTGCAGCCAAGGCAGTAAAGTAGAGCAGAGCAGGTCAATACTATGCTGTGCAAGCAAAGGGAAATGCATGGTGATTTCACGGCCATTCAGATCCTTTGACTTGTACTTCCAGGCTGAGGATTGCTTTAACCAGAATAGCTTTTCCAAATTACACCTTTACACTTTCCCAGATAGGCAGCAGATACAGGGGAAGGAGAGTATCATGGTGTCTCTTCCCCAGTAGACATTGTACTGCATAACATCCCTGAGAGCCCAGCCACAGCCTTTAATATTAAAAGAGACTTTGTTTTATTCCCATCTACTTCAGTGGTGAATTTCCCTTAAAGAAGCTGAGTGATTTTCCTGGTTTACCCAGAAATTTTACAGGGGAGGCTCTGAACCTCTCCAAGCCTCTGCCACTTTACCTTCTGCTTATTGGGCACAGCAGACTGGCTAGCCTAAACTGGGTACTGCATTTTAGTATGCAAGCAAAAAAACAATGAGTGTTAATCTGCATTCATTCATTTTTATTAGATATTGCATTAACAAGTATTCCATAACAATGAAACTCAGCCCCCCAGTGGAAGTTAATCAGTGGGGAATTAATACTAAAGATGTGGGATATCAACTAGAATTCATTATTTTCCCCTACATCAGTAAACAAACAGCAGTTGGTTCTGTTAGCACTTTCTCTGTAAGGGTTTGAAATTTCCAGAAAAGAAATAAGCCAGAATTCAGTTTTACATGAAAAGGTGGGACACAGAAAAATCTTGACTACCTTTATTATTAATGTACACTAGAAGAATGAGAAAATTCCCTGTCACAGGTGTTTCTGGAACACATGCCCCTTCATCCAATGGTCTTATAAATGGCATTAATGCAGTTCAGCTGCAGGGTTGTTTTTATCATTACAGAAGTGCTTGTAGTCTAAGACACTGAGAAGAATTTGCTGTAGTCAGAATCTGCTTCATCCAGAATCTGCCTCAGCCAGGCTCTGAATGTAGTTCATTCCTTTGTGTCAAAACAGAAATGCAGTTGCTTTTCTATAGATCATGATATTTTTCGAACAGTTGAGATACTTTATTGTCATAAATCATAAATAGTTTTTAATGTTCATGTTGTAGATGAAGTATCTGAGCCCCAGTTTATTTGTAAGCCTTGAGCTCCTGTGTGGCGTAATAATAAAACCAGTGACAAACAGCACTAACAATGCTGTACCCAAACCATCTTCACCTTGTGTTAGCTTTTGACCATCTGTCATCCCAGGGTCTCTGTGCACAGGATAGCAGACTTCCCCTGGCTCATTAGTTTCTAGTACACAACAGACATAGAGAGACATTTATGATACAGCAGATTTTATAATGACATAATCATGTAATGTCAATATCTTCCTTTCATGAAGTAAAATGCCTAACTTGCGCAGACCAGTACCGCTAATCTTCAGCTGTCCAATCTGACCAATCTGTCCAATCTGATGCACAATTAAAGTTGTCAGTTCAAATCTGCCCCAAAAGCTATGTTGTGCTTCATATCAGTTTAGAGTATACACTGTAAGATGGTGTTCTTTGGTCATACTGACAGCTTCTATCAAATATGAATAGAATGTTAAAGGGCATTAGCTTTTTATGCATTTGTAAATTTAGGGGAACATAGGCTCAAATGCTGTCCACAACATGATAACAATGCACTTGCTTTTAAGTAATTGTGAAGTATTGAGTTATTGCTTTAACTGGCTTGATTGTATCTTCTTCCCAAGGTCTTTTACTCAGAAGTGGAAGATGACAAAGCAGTTAAGCAGCTCTCGCATGATGTTCCCCTGAGTTTGGATATGGTTAGCATGGTAAGTATTCCTTTTCATCAACTGTCAGAGCACTTGAGCAGAGTTTGCAAGTGGGAACTTGCAACTGCCTACGTGTTGCTGGTTTGTGAATTATACTGGGCATCCAAGCCCCTGATCTGCTCTGGGTATCAAGCAAAAGGAAAGCACAATGTTTTTCTGTAATCCAGTCAATGTGATACACTTTTGCTCCTTGTTGTCACGTAAAACTATTGGGATTTGCTTATGTCTTCCTAGTATTGACCTCTGGTATCTACAAAAATAGACCTTTTCATTTAGAATATGCATTTTCTGTGCACTTCTACACATGGAAGGGGAATTGCATGACTCTCTGCACAGTTAGAGTTACAATATCAGTGTATGTGTATCGCAGTGTCTGACACAGGTAAGTGTGTGGGGTAAAGGAGACACAGCATTTCCAGTGTATTTTTTATCTCTGTATGGGACTGTGGCCTCCTGAAAAACAGTTTAATAGTGCTAAATAGTTACAGCTGTGCAAGTTAATCTCCTAGAAGATTCCCTCAAATTCTGAGTTTTTTCGTGTTGAAAGCACTTCTTTTTCTCCTTGCTTCTCATTTTTCCTCTTTTCTTCATTTCTGTTTTTCCTTTTATTTCTCCTTTGCTTTCTTTGTTTTATTTCACTCTCCCCTTCTCTTTCACACTTCCCCTTCCCTTTTTCTCATAATTTCCCCTTCCTGTTCCATTTGTGAATGAACACTGGCCATCCTCTTCTGCTGCACAGCTGACCAATTAGTGCTGAGATGAGAGCAATTCCTCTGTGCTTCTGGATGGTTTTAATACTGCCTGCTTTAAAAGTGTATTCTCAAAACATGTTGGTGTTTGCTTAGTGCAAAGAAGCTGCTCTTTGAGTTCAGCAAGGCAGGAACAGAGATTTTCCAGCCTCTGCTTGGGCAGAGAGCAAAGGAGTGTTGCTGTGAGGGGAGCACTTTCATACCATGCTCTGCAAAGGGCAGTCTGTCCACGATACAGCAATGTTACCAGCACAGGAATCAAAGGCTTATGTGTGCACAAAGGGGCATTGCAGGCTTTCCAGTCTTTATTCGGTGATCCTTCTTCTCAATTTTTTTTCCTCCTTTTTCTTCTGCTCATCTTCATTCTCTTTATTTCCTCACCCTGCTTCCTTCAGTCTCCTCACATGAAGTTCAGTGAAGTGCGTTCACTGATATTTCCTGATCCCTGCTGGGCAGTGCTCAGAAACCTTTCCTGTGAGAAGTGTGGGTGAGAGGGATGCTCAGATTTCCTGCAGTTTTCTATCACTCTGGTTGTCAGTTCTGACTCCTTCAGGTTTCTGGGATCATGGTGAATGAAAAAATATTGTTGCCATGATATATTATTTCTTTCTTTTTTGCATTATTTTCCCTCTTCTGATCTTTATCTCTGTATTCCTCACTCATTATTCTTTTTTCCCCAGAATCCCATTCTTACCAGTAGTGTCAGCAAAGATCAAACAGCACATTGTTTTTTTATCTTAATCCTGACAGCAGTAATTCTTACAATGAGAATAGAGTCTGTATCCCAGCACTCACACAGATAAATAACAGCCACATAGACTACTACATGGGGCAGCATTGGTTTTGTTTTAATCCCCTGACCTGTTACATACGTGGTTTAGCTATCATTTTTTGGTATGTTACTTCATTAACAAGCCCTATTTGCTTTTTCCCAGGGTCAGCTTGAAGGACAAGCAATTTTTGTAAGTATTGCTTCATGTGAACCTTGGTCACAGCTGTGATTTAAAATTAAATTGAACATTCCTGACCTGCTCTTTCCACATATTCACACATAAAAGTTGATGTCAGATGTTGGTTCTACTTAGCACTTATAAGGAACATTTTCTAGTCAAAATGTGGGAAATAATAGCTAAAGCTCAGAATCCAGAGGTGAAAGAGGTGGACATGTGTAAGTACAGCAGCTCCCTTTTTAGCAATGGATAAACATTTCTCTCAGATATGAGAAGTGTTTATGTCTTGGTTTGACGGAGTAAATTTGTGTAAAAAGTGATCTATACCCAAGCAATGAGGACTTACAGGCAACAGGGACAGCTGGGTAGTAGACACACAGTGACAGGGAAGAACAAAAGTCTGGCAGTGGGACAGGAGACACAGAGGGAAAATCCTGAGCCAGGAGACAATGAGGGAAAAACCTGAGCCAGTCCAGCTAGAGGCAAGGAGGAGGAGCACAGCAAGAGGCCAGTCATGCAATGCCCAGGAGGAAGGAGTGGGAGACTAACTAGTATAAAACAGGTTTGAAGGAAATACCAGCCCTCTTAATGGCTTTGCAGCTGGTGAATTATTCAGATTAATTATTTCCAGTCCTGTACACAGTTCAGTCTGCTTCCTATGAACAGTCAACAGGTTGGGTTTTTTGTGGTGGTAGAAGCAAGCAGGAGGTACTCAGGTTTGTGTAGGATAAGGACAGAAGTTTCAGTGTTTAACCAAAATCCCTAACATCAACTATGTCCTGCAAAGTTTTATTTTCTGAAAGCTGTTCTAGGAATGGAGAAATCCCACAAAGTTGGTGGATCTCACATAGCCTTCATAGTCTGAATTAGGGGAAGTTTGCTTGGATTATAGAAGGCTGGTGTCCAGATAGACCTCAGGGTGCACTTGAACCAGGACTATCTGGTTCAATCTCAGCTGAGCTGCGCCTGGATTATGGCATTTCAGAGTTGAGTTTCCACGCTGGGCCCTATTCTTCTGCTTGATAAAAATAACACTTCCGAAGGCTACTTGTGGAGAAGTATGACTGACTGGGATTAATCAGCTCCCAGCTGTCATTAATCCTCAGGAAGTGGTGTTCTCGCTGAAATGCTTTCTGTTATATTCATACCAAACTCAACAGAAATCTGCAATTGTTTTGTGGTTAAATCTGCATAATTCATGTTTCCCTCACTAAGCCTCCTCTCCCACTGCTGGATACGATCCTCCTACTTTCTCAGAGGCTTCTCTGGACCGTGCAAGACTGTCATAGGAAGAGCTGAACTGCATCAACTGTTTCTGTGTGTGTGTGCCTGTGCCTGTGTTTTAGCAAAGTGGATAATATATTATAGCTGTATTATATCATCTTAGAACAGAGAGCATGTAAGTGAGAGCACCCAGGAGAAGCACAGGTGCAGTGTAATTTAATAAGGCAGTCGTTCTACTGGACATAATATTTGAGAAGTTGAGCACAAATATTTAAAAAAAAAAAAAAAAGAAAGAAAAAACCCAAGAAAAATTAGTTGACTTTAAAGGTGGAAGGTCTTAGGTCAGGCACAGAACTATGGAGACCAATATTGCTCCTTATCAGATCACCAGACACACCAGTACAAAATCAGGAATGACCGCTGGAGACCAGTAGTAAAGGGAAGGAATTGTGAGGGAATCAACTGTCAGTAAAACCAGTTCAATTTCTGCAGCTGTTCTGTAATCCAGGGTTTGAGGGGGTTTGGGATTTTTTATTAAAACACAACAAATCAGAAAACAGGTTTTCTTTGGAAAATAATTAGAGATACTGGTTTCTGTGAGGCAGTTTACTGCAGTCACAGCAGTTTCAACACACTCGAAGGAGGGCAAGCTGTGTGGCAAGGCAGGGAGGGATATACGGTTTCTGCATTCACCTGACTCCTATACTACAGAAAAGGCATCACACTGCTTCCCCCCCATTCAAGAATGTGAGACTGTGATGAAAGGGTTTTAGCAAGAATGTTGTGTAAGACAAGAAAGTGAGGTTGGTGCTTAGTAAAGCCTCACTGGCAATGTAATGTCCTGTTTGGGGTATCATGCTCCAAAATATAGAGGCAATCTGAGTAGAGAGAAAGACTACAGAAATGATAGTGATCTAACGTTGCTACATTCTACCTAAATCCCTGATCTGTGAGGGCACTGTGTGTCTTCTGCAGTGGAAAAAACTTGAGTTTAGGGCACTTCTCCTAAATACAAGCAAAAAAAAAAAAAAAAAAGAGGTGAGATATGTACTCCCACGTTCCTGGACAGTACAAGGAAATGTGTTTCTTCTTTAGAACCTCATTTGAAACTGTTCTGGTATGAGATGGGTATTCCCTGAGATTGCCACAGGTTAGGATAGCTTGATGGTGTCCTGAATCTTTACCTATTCACTAATGTCTTGATCCTAAATTAGAAGGTACTTGATCTCAAAGATATCCTCTGTTTGCCCAACAGCTGTGCTCATGGAGAGGACATTGCCAGAAGAAAGAGACAGATAGCCATGTGTGTAAGGAAGCGAGCACTTTCCTGAGGTGTGAGGGTACACATGTTGAGCTTAAATACCTAAGTAGATATTAGGACTTTGATCTTGTTTGGCCTTGCGGTCATTGAGATTTGTTCTTTTTAGTTTATTGTAGACCTAAGTATGGAGGTAATAATAGGAGGTAAGTACCTCAATATCCCACTCTCTGTGGAGGCCAAGTTCCTGAATAATGTGAAAGCAGTAAGACAGATAATAAAGGATTTTTTATTTCCTTGTAAGAATGAATGCAATGAAGAGAGATATCGGCAGGAACAAATGCACACGATTTGAATACAGATGGATAGCAAGTATGTCATGGAGGGTGGAATGACAGGAACTGGGGCATCAGTATTTTCATTAGGAGGAGGTAACGGGTTTTCAGCAACTGGCTTTTCAGATCACATTTTGAAAGATCTCAGTCACTTCAGATATACGAGGCTGAAAGACCAAGATAAATCTTTTGGTATGAATTTCCTTGCTGCCTCTCTCTGGGCAGTTACTTTTACAGCATTGTTATCGTTTCTCTCAGATGAATCCAAATCGTTCAAGCAGATCAAGGGCGAATGATGGAAAAACAGGATAATGATCAGGTGGCCCATGTTCATAGGAAATCAGTGACTGAGTTCCAAAACCACAGATAAATGACAGATGACAGGGTGTTGCCAAACAATGTTGTAGTAATAACGTAAGTTCTCCAAAGAGTAGAGAAGGAGAGTTTGTCCAAAAGACCATCATAAGGAAATCTAGCAGTTAATGAAACTTTGGGGTTGTTTACTATTTTACTGCATCTGGAAATGCAGATCTGAAGTCTGTTCCAACATGAAGAGAGAGAAGATTTCTGCATTTTCACATGCACTGTGAACAATGTTATTAATATCAGAGAATAAAAAACAAAAGAAAAATTCTCTGTAGAACAGTTTTTTGTAAGTGCCTTTTCCACACCAAAACAAACTGTGGTGTAGAACCTGGTATTTCTGTTTACTTGTATATGTTGTCAAAATTTGTAAATCTGGGATTTACATCTCTCTACAGATAGGTTGCAGGTAAAGAATACTGAATTTCTATACGCATCTACACATGCTTCATGAAAGTTCATATCTGAATGCCTGAAGTTGATCCATGCTGTATGCACCAACCACTGATAAAACATAATTTTTTGGTGACATTTGCTAATTTTGGGGTGATTCGAGCAGGTTCCTTTAAGGAGTATTCGGCAGCACAAGCTCTTCACATGGAGGTTAGCATCACCTCCTTTACAGTAGTTGTCTGTGGGTTAATCTTTCTGAGTTTATGGCAGAAGGACAAATAAGGGAAATGCTTGCTTCAGGTCAAGCTGATAGCAGGGCTAGGAAAATTACAAGAAGCGATGGGACTGGTTTCTGTTCCATGAGAAATTAAAGATCATCAGTTCACACTGCATCAACTTGCTTCATTCTCAGGATCTTCTACAGTCTCTGGATTTAAAAGAAAAAGAAAAACAAACAAACAAACAAAAAAGAAAATGCATCAGACTTATACTGAATGCCAGAAATTGGCTCAAGGGACGGAATAGTATGTGACTTTGACTTTACCAGCCAAAATGCCGGACAGTGAGGGCAAACAATCTGCAACCTTTTGAGTTATGCTGAGAAATAGGTCCAGGTCATCCTTGTGTATTCCTCAGGGACAAAGCTGCAGCTTGAGAGGAAACAAATGGTGCTGTTTGTGTTTGTTGCTTCTGAGCTGGTCTTGGGACAATCCTCCTAGGAGGTTGCATGGAAAATACCATGCAAGATCCCTGAATCCCAGTTCACAGCACCATCCCAGTTACATGGAAGAGCTTTCACAATGTTTTTGTCTTGTTTTCTTTTGACTCTGTTAGGAAGTTGTTATTGGTGATCTAAAGCCAGGCACTCCGCACCGTGTTAGTGTTGGAGCATACGGCTGGGCAGGGAAAGGACGACCCAGCGTGCCCAGAGATGTGACAACCTTATCCCAAGGTAACGCTGTGTACATGGCTTTCTGTTGCAAAACTGCAGGGCATGTCTGTAAAACAGCAGGCCACTGCACCTAGATCTCTGTTGTGTACAATATTGTAATATTTTACTATTGTTTTTCCACAAGTGTGGGGTTTTAGAGGGGAAGCAGGTGAGGGGAGCAGTCTGAGTTTGATTCCCAAGTCTGCGGGGTTTGGGTTATTGTATGTGTTAGCCCATCTGCTTCTGTAATCCTAATCCTTTACATTTCTTATGTCTTAGATAAGTGCATGCCCCCTGCACCGCCCCATCAGCCCCAGATCGTGGTAGTTTCTGATTCAGAAGTTGCGTTATCCTGGAAGCCTGGAAGTGAAGGAAGTTCTCCCATCCAGTACTACACAGTGGAGTTTATCAGGCAAGTTTGCCAGTGAAGCCTGAATTTCAGTGTTTATGCACTACAGGATTTTGTTTTTACCAAAATTGCACTATTAAACCACATATATATTCTTGTTATGCTTTATTTACTTACTGTATGTAATACACTTAGTTTTCCTAAGTGTTGAATTACTGTGAAAATTTAAAGGCAAAATGGGAAATCTTTTTTTTTTTTATAAAATCCCAGTAAGTTGTAGCTTCTGACTGAAGAAAATAACATCTAATTTGATATGTTCCCTCTAATAAGGACCTGGGCAAATGAAGATTTGGGTTTCTCCTGTCATCAGACACTGTTGAACCATGCTGAGAAAAAATATGTGCCAGAGCAGTTCCCCTGAGTAGGAGTACCCTGGGCTGCACAGTCCTGAGGATTGTGAATTCAGTAAGTCAGGTAGTTTTACCTGACAAAGGTCTTTTGGGTCCTGAGCTTGTAGGATTCAGACTTCCTTTGCTATCCTAACGCTAATCCAGTTTACACAGAATATTTGCCTTTCTGTTTAGACTTTTTTGGAGGAGGTGGGGTTGGTGTTTGGGTTGTTTTTTATTTCTTTTATGTCGAACCCTCTAAAATTTTCGGTAATAGAACTGAACTGTGAAAAGTAGCCAATCAAGTTGCTTTTCTAAGATGCATGTGAGTGGTCAGAAGGAAGTGGTTTTATCTGCATGCAAAAACAATTGTTCATACCTGACAGTTCATATGTTTGTGTAAGCTAATATCTGCATACAAAACTATTTATTTTCATTTGCTTGCCCCTGTGTTTACCCTTATAGTAAAAGCAGAATTCAGACTCTGGAAGTTTAATCCTTTGAGTGAACACGATGACAGGTTTTACTTGAGATTTCTGCACGAGAAGAGAGAATTGCATCTTAAACTAGTCTGAGCTGTAAAGGTCAAAAAATGTTCTTCAGAAAAACATATTCAGTTTTTAAAAAGAATTGTTAAAACAGACAGAAAGAACTATTGGTTTTCAGTGCTCAAATTATGGTTACAACCTAGAAGATATTGATGTAATGAAAAGAATTCCCAGGCTGAAAGTGAGCTCTTTGTATTTGAATTGAAATGGCCCATATTTAGTGGGAAGTGCATTGCACTGGAAGACAGGACATGAGGGCTAAAGGTGCATTATGTCCATCACATAAGTTGTAGCTGTAGCATTACCATGAAATTTCGCCAATATCTATTTTTTGAACACAGTTGTTACCTGAGTCTTTTTATTTTCTTCCCATCTTTTCTGTCTCATTTTCTTGGCGGATGGGGAAGGGATTTTGCTGGGTTCTCATTTGACCGACCTTCTATTGACTCTCTGCTTTTGCTGGGAAGTGGATCCTGCAGGTTTTTGTACACCTTTTCATAGCAGCAGAGACCTGCTAATGGAAGAAGAAGTGGGCACCATCTGTCCATCTGATGCATTGGAAGTGCACCCTTGAATGCTTTTGTTCAGCCAGGGAGTGGAAAGCTGCCTCCACTGTTTGAGTGGAAAAATGCTGGTCATTGAAATTTCAGTGTTTTGTTGGGTTTAGACATTGGAAAAGAATTTGCTAACAGCACAATGTTTTGATTACACTGTTTAGTTTGAGGTTTAAAGCTAAGCTGGAAGTGTATTTGTTAATTTTGGGATTACACTCTTTTAGACTTGGAAGCTTGCTTATATATTTAGAGAAAATTCAATGAGCCGTAAGTCCTAATGGTAGTTAGAGGTAAAGATTTAACTTTAAACTTCATTGTCTTTTTCTGCATATAGTTTTAATTACTATAAAATGTATTAACATGAGTTAAAGCTGTTAATTAAACCAATGTGAAACCAAAACTAAACAGTGCAAGTAAATTTGAATTAAGTCCTCTTATGTCAAAGAAATACAACACTATCCTGTGCTTTTGCAAAATTAATGACTTTCTTATGCAAATCTGTAATTTTTGCAACACAAATGTCTTTTTAAATCATTTCCATCCTCTTAGAACTAACTTTTTACTTTAACCCTAGCAAAACCATGCTAGGAGACTGCGAGGAGGGAAAAACACTTTTGATTAGCTCAACTGTCATATTGGGGATTAAAAACTCATGAAAATTCAATAAATTAATTGTTTGCACATACCAGAATCTAATCAGAACCAGAGATAACCTGCAGTCTGTTTCTGCTCAGGGTCTAAATTGAGCCCTTATTGGGCACTTGCATGGGTTTCCCTTATGATCTTTTGGTTCACTATAGGCAGTGGAGTGCTGCAGGTGGTTTCAGATGCAGGATGAGCTGGACTAACTCAGGCTCTGCTCTGCTGTTGACTGTAAGAGGACGCTATGGAGACCATAATCCCAACTTGTCTAAATGCTGAAAATCTGCACAGTTCATAGGCAATGTGGAAAACATGTTAAACCAAAACCAGCTAACGGTGTCTGTGGAAGCTTGCAGGTTCAGTGTATATAGTCTGTTGGTTTGTGCTGATAAATGTTTTATGACTAATGACATTCTTATGAAAGCCTCTGAAGTGAGACCCCAGACTTAAACATACTAGTTGGAGTGTTTTTCCTAAAGATTCTATAAAAAAATAATTCTCAAAAATGTCTTGGATATTTTCATGTGAATACTCTAAATACTAAAGTTTTTAATCAGTTGAATGATTACCCAATTACCTATACTTGGAGACTAACATCCAGATTATTTTAGTTGGTGAGCCTTCTCAGAGCCCCAAGTATTTTGGCACCTAAAATCCTCTAAAAAGGATTAAGCCACTTTCTTTTCATCTTGGCATATAGATGTAGTCAAGAGCTTTCGAATTAATCTTAACATACCCAAAGAACCCAAAACAACAGATCTAATCAGGGCGAAATTTTCTAATGCTCAGCAAAAATACCAATATTAAGTTTTTCCCGATTCATATACGAAATAGATGCACTGCTTGTGAGGGTTAAGTCCTTGAAGAGGTAGTCAGCAAAGAAGGAGGAGTGGAAGATGTAGAAATTAGTGAGGAAGTACTTAACAATGTTAGATAGCATCAGAAGATTATGTAAGAAAAGAATGAGGATAGCAAATTGTCTACTTTTCCTTTCCTCAGAATTGACTTGGCATATGGTTTGATATATTTTGTAGGAAGTGTCACAATAAAGCTAAATAATTAGTAAAAATCATATCCTACAGTGTGTTATTTTCTACAATTTGTATTTTCCACAGTCAATAAGAACCTACTGTACTTGTCACCATAATTATTATTTTTTGGAATTTTATTTTTTTTTAATTGTAGAGATGAATTTGCACTTGAGTACAAACATGGCACAAAAGAACAATCAAAAACCTTATAAAAATTGGATTGCTAGCAGGTGCTTCACTCTGTTAAATCATTTCTGGGTGATTATAAGGGGAAGTTCAAGTGAAAATAAAATTGCTGGTCTCTGCATCAGAAAGATTTCCTTTCTTAAATGAATCAGTCCCCAGATTACACTGTAAAGTGATAATCCAAATGTTTTTGGCACATTTGGGGTAGGATTCTGACCTTAGTTTGTGTCCATCCAGTTCTATTGACTTTACCCATATGTTCATTATCTTAAAAAAACTCTGATTTTGTCACTGGACAGATTCCTCCTGCATGGCATTTCTGTGTTGGAGATGCACAGATGTAACTTCAAGAGCAGAACAGGCCTGTGGAAGTTGCCTGGTTTCCCTGTACACAAATACAACATCCAGAACAGCCCTGAAAAGTCTTGTCCAGAAACAGAGGAACCCATGCTAGGGAATGTAGTGTTGCAGAAGGTGGAAAAAGTGGTGTCAAAATAATCCCTTCTTGTGTAGAAGTTGAAATAAACTGAAATTTGATGCAAAAAAAGGACCACGGAGGCAGTTTTCAACAAAATGATCCAAGCTTAGAAAACGCAGGAGCTGGCTGGCCCTGGATGCAGTCACCAGCTGAGTTTGTTGTGTGCTTCTCCCCATCTGTTTGCCATTTTTCCATCTTGTACCGATTTGTTCGCACAGGGAACGTTCTGGAGAAGTAGCAAAGGTCAAGTGATAAATCTGCCTTTTTCCCTCTCCTTCAGCTGCAGATGCTTACACATTTGCAGGCATTTCCTTTATTATTCACTTCTGCAGAAGGAAGTCTTGCGAGAGACAGTCAGTGAAGGCGAAGGCTAGCCCATGGTTTGTGCTATGTCCTGAATCTTTGTGGGGTGCAATACCTCATTTGGGTCACTTTGTCAGAGGCGTGCGTTTCCATTTGGGCTCAGAAGTCGGCAAAGTAAGGAGGCTGTGAGGCAGCCCTTGAGCTAGCAGAAATTCCTTGGACTGGAATTAGAGCCAAAAAAAGATGTGTACAGGAATATTGAAAACACTACTAAGCGAGCATGTGGAAGGAAGCGATATTAACAGATTTCATTTGGAAAATGCTATACCATTTCATTTTGGCCCAAGCATCAAAAGCTCAGAGAAGGCAAACAATGAAAAAGTAGCTAAAATAAATACCCCTCTGTCTACTAGGAAACGGTGGTGGAGGGTGACATAAGATGGTCTGCTTAGCTGTCATTACACCTAGCTTATTTGTCCGAATTTATTTTTATTTTTAGAGACACAATGAAATATTCGCATCTTGTGTGCCACTGTGCACAGGAGCTGGGCAGCTGGGTACTACTGCTTTGTCACTGCATTTGCCATGCTGGCACAAAACAACGAAACCTTAGTGACCAATAAATCTTGTATGGACTAGTAAAAGGAAACATACATTAACTTCAGCATTTCCTTCCAGCTGCAAATAAACAAATACAAAATGCCTGCCGGGTGCTATAATTTTCTTTGGAAGACTGTTGGAGACATTTGCAGCTAGTCCTATGTAAACATTGGTAGATACAGGGAGCACTTGGAGGTTATTTCCTGTAATAAATATCACAAGGACATATTAGAAAAGGGCACTGGAATAATTTTCTCTGAAAGTCATTTCTGTCCCTATTTTACTTTCATAGGCCTCATTTTGAATATTTTGGGTGGCCTAGATTTAATGTTTGCATTCTTATTTTGTTTGGTTTTGTTTTCCTTTTCTCATTTGGTTCTCTCTTTGATAAGAAAAGACCACATTTAGAGAGAGTAGAAATGGTGTGAAAGCAGTATTCTGCTTTCCAATGTCCCTCTGCTTCAACATCTGAGACTAAACTGCCATGTGAATGGTTGCACTGATTTCACATTGATTAAAATGACACTTAGAGCAAACATTAATTTGCAGCTGGCTTCCAGTATGATTCAGGAGTAAAACAGGCACTGTTCAAAGACACACACAGGAATTTTGTTGCAAAATCCACATTCATCAGCCAGGTTTTATGCATTATAGTTCTGATTTGGGTGGGGGTGTGTGTCTTGTTTGTTTGTTTGTTGTTTTTTTAAGGAGACAAGACTTTTGATCCAGATTTTCTAATGTGGCTAGATTATCCTGATTGCTTAAGAGATCAAATGTTAGATTCTCAACCTGCTAATGCTTGTATATGTTTGAAGGGACTTATTGGCATTAGAGCACAAACTCTTAGAAATAAATCAGTATCTTTCTCTCTTTTGCAAAGTCCTGTATTTATACAGCCAAATAGGGGACCGGGAACTGCAGGTAACATATCCCCATTTGTAAACTGTGAACCCCAAATCCATGAAAACAGAGCTTGATTTTTCAAGCTGTCCTCTATAAAACCTCCCTGGCTTTATAAGCAAAATTTGGATATTGGGGTTGTGTCACTGTATAGTTTTCATATCTTAGGCTTTGCAGCTTAGTAATGGTTGCACAGTCTGGCATTTTAAGAGTGAGGGATTTCAGTGATGATTTATCACTAATTTTCTTTTAATTTCCCAGGAAAGCTTAAAAGCAATTAATTTATATAGCTTGAATTATTTATGATCTTGGCTTTGTTTGACCCTGAAGGCCAGATCTTGACAGCAATTGGACGGTAATAAGAGAGCAGATCCAGATGGAGTCCATGGTTCTTAAAGGACTTCTCCCAAACACTAAATACCAGTTCGCCGTCCGAGCAGCAAACTCCTATGGATCCAGCCCTGCCAGTGCACCGAGTGACATCATCCGAACATTCAGTGAGTAGAAGCACCTTTTTGTAATTAAAACTATGTAAAAATAGAGTATTACCTGTAAATGAAGTGTGGCAGACTGCTGGTGGAAAGAATTGCTTTCCAAGCACAGGCACCCCAAGTCTGATAACTCTTAGTCCTGTCCATGAAGCTTGAAGAATCCTGTGAAAGTCAAGCCATCAGCAAAGATGTGAAAAGGACCAGGCAGAAGCACCCTCATGGTCTTCCTCTGCTCCGTAGGTCATTGCCAAATCTTTTTAGATTGCTACTTACTGATTTTTTGTGCTGGCTTCATGCAGAACTGGTAAGTCAATATCATGGGGAAAAATAAGAGAGACAAGTCTACTGTTAATCTTTTTTGTCCTGTTCTTTCAAACTGAGCCTTACATATTACAAGTTAAACAACTCTGAGAGACCAAAATAAACCTACACTGTTTACTGAGGAGTAAGGCTCTTAAACTGTTAAGTACTACCATGAAACTAACGACATAAAGAAGACAACATTCCTGTTTGGTCAGAAGCTGTATAGCAAAAATATTAAGTGAAAATGCATTCAAACATACTTGAGTAATCACATATTGTTAACTATTACATTCGCATTTGTGTAGTGATGTAGGCAATGCACATTGCAATAAGATGTGGGTCTTGAGCATATCTTCCTTGGTGTATAATCCTCTAGTGTGTCTGTGGGCTGACTTTGAGGTGCTGTTGCTCCTCATTACCCCCAAATCATAGATGTATGTGAGAATCGCAAGCAAGCCTCATTGAGAATCGTACAAATTATATCTCTTGCACAGCAGAACACCCAGTGTCACAAAGAGAGTCGATTCAGGAAGCAAAGCCAAGGCTGGCAGGCTGTGGGGACTAACTATATCCTTAATGTGCCAAGCTTTTTATTGAGTTAAAAAGGTCTCAGTACTTTTAAGTTCCAGTTTTGAAAGCATTTCTAGGGGACAGAATACTATGCAAGAAAATACCTGGATATCATTTTGGCAGATTCATGAACTATAAAAAAGAAGAACAAAACTGACTTTTTTTCTTTTCTCACTTGCATGCTCAGTTGCAAATAATGTTTAACTAACTGGTAGAAAATGAGCAGCTGATATTCAGGTAAGACTGTGAGCTCTGCAAGGAGAATTTGCATGCAGCAGAAACGTGCACCTCTTCTTTAGTGGTATAGTGATCAATTTAACCCACTAAAGATTTATTTCTAAATTGCTTCCCTACTTTAGAATCACTTGTTTTTATTGACTTTTATACATCAGTTTCTATTCTTTTTACCCTCTGTCATCAACTCAATCCCTTGAATGGTTTGCATGAAGTTTATCAAGGCTGCTGAACTAAGTTTAACTTCTGAAGCAGATGTTTGGGAGAACATGAAGGATCACCAATATACTGGGGTTCCTTGGCCCTTGGATCATCAAAGGTCAGCTCCTGCTGCCTCAGGCACACTTCTGTGCTCCTCAGTATCCTGTTTATCTTCGGATGTGAGCGGCTGCATTCTTGGGTCAGAAAAGCTAAAGCTTTGTCATGTGTGGAGTAGTATTCATGCTATGCTTATTACTGCGATACTCTAGGAAGATGCAAAGACCTGTTGAGATGGCTCTAAAACATGGGTTTCTGTCAGTAGAGCTTAGAATCAAATTCATGCCTGGTGCATGCAAAGACTGATTTCTGGAGAGGGGTACAGGGGGCATGAGCTTGATTCTCTATGCCTGGATCAGATCTGAAAGTGAATGTATTATGCATATTGCACTGCTCTCTGAGGAGGCTCAAAAACTGTGTGCCAGTCCATGGCAAGCATATGGGTGCTGCTGAGAGGTTGGTCTCCCTACACCAAGGGGCTGGCAGTGCTTGGGGAGACCCTTATGAGCAGGCAGAGCTCCTGCAGCCTAGGACTATATCATGTCCATGATGTGCGCCAGCCATGCACCAGATCTTTTGTACTTAGGGCTACTTTGGCAAATGCCAAGCCCTTGGGCAAATACAAATGTGGTTCCTTCACCAGTCTGCTCTTAAATCCAGAATGGACTTTGAAAATCAGCTTAAAAGCTATATATAGCCACTATGCATGAAAGCCTTTATTATTTTGTGGACACCTGTCTTCACAACAGCCAACTTTTTGCACATCAAGAAGTGGTGTTCAAAGGCAAGAGAGATTGCCTTTAAAAATAAGTTCTGTGGCTTTCTGGAAGCAGGAGTGTAACTGACTGTAGCAGCTCTCACGTGGCTTCAAACAGCCAAAAAGCCAATAGTTACCTTTTTTGGCCTAGTTAATCATTCATTTGATTGCTCAGATATAGACATTGGGTAGATTTGATGTCCCCTAGGTCCCTGTGCTTTTCAGCTGTCACTGCAGGAAGGCATGTGTCTTGCAGGTGTCTGCCAGGCACCCATCGGTCCTCTGGGGATCTCTCAGGTACCGTATTGCATATCAGATGGCACCAGATAAGTGACTCTCTCAAAGTGCCTGTAGATACCTCTTATTCACCTATTGTTGCTGGAAGGATGTCAGACAGTTGGCATCTCTGAAACTGGAACATCTTTGCTCTTCAAGGTGCATGTTACTATCTTCATTATTACTACAGTTCCTCCTCCCATGTATACAGTGAAACATGCCACAGATATTTGATGCTATTTTCTGACTCTGTATTCCTTAAAAATACCTGAAATATCTCACGGAGCTGGCAGGAGTTCACATGATATCTGGGTCCTTTGCATTGCACTTTAGCCGTATGGCACCAAGGTTCCTAATGTATTTGAATTCTAAAATTATGCTTCTTTATTCTTGTATATCCTGGATTTTTATGCTCATTTTGAAATAATTAGTGCTTTTCTGATGCTTATTTTAACTGAAGAACAAATTCCCAGCATTACCTTAGATGCAGTGGAACTTCAGGTTCCATGTTGCACTGCATAGCTCTTCTAGGCAGTCTGAGACAGAGGTAAGCCCTGCAGACACTGAGTCCAGGACACCTGAGACATTTTCTGCTGGAGCTTATCTCATTCTCACATGCAGTTCTTGTGTTTTGGTTTTAAAAGGTGGCTGGCTTTGTAGTACTCTTGATCACATTTTCAAGCCAGCAGAGTAAAACCACTGTCTTTGTTTGCTAAAATGTTCCTATGGAGGGTTGCTGGCAGTATCACCTGGTGTGAGAGACCTCCCAGGGTCCTTACAAGTAGAACATGTGGCCTTGATTATAAGCAGTTACCCCTTTACCTAGTAAAAAAGGCATGTTTGGTTTATTGCTCCATTTTCAGGGAGGAAGGAGAGGGCAGGTTTCCCCAAGGGTTCTCATTTATTTGTGATTTGGCTTTATTTCTTTTTTTTTTTTTTTTTATTTTGTTCCCCTAAAGGGAAATGATGTAATAAATATTTTTTTTGTTGCCTTTCTTAATTACAGATGCAGGTTGTGGGTGTTTCACTTACGTGATTGTTGGGGTTTCACTTTGTTAAGCTTTCAATGTGTCATGGACAATTTACTTGAAAACAAAGGATTGCACATGTCCAATTTAGTAACAACAAAATAAACTGTCCCAAAGAATCAAACAAATTGTCATCACCTGCACTGCTTAAATAACCTTCGTCTCCTGGGGAAACAGATGGGGTTTGCACTGTGCCTGGAAGGTCACCAGACTTGGGCTTTGCCAAACCAACAGAGGAAGTGTCTTCTGTTAAAAATACCATCCTGCCTGCCTCCACAGCAAATTGACAGAAGGGGCTGCTCAGTCAGGGTACATCCCTTCCTCTGGTCCTGGCTGTCACCACCAGGCTAATACCAAGCAAGGGACTCTACATGGCACTTGAATGTGTTAGCTGAGGCTCAGGCACAGGAAAATGGATGTCCCTCAGGCCCAAACCTTGATGTAAATGATGCTGATGTGTCCTGGAGATAGCAAATGGAGAAGCTTTTCCTGAGAACTGTTTCCCACAGGTCTCCAAAGGCTTTACAAAAGCAGTGTTTGTATTTATAAGGACAGGAACAAAAAGCAAGAGACAGGCCAAGTGATGTACAATGCCTCACCATGAGTCGCTGATAAGAATAAAACTCAGATTAAAATATGTTTTGGATTGAGACCTGTGAAAGTTCTGCATCCTCACGTCTGATCTCAGACAAAGGTGATCAGTCTGCTAAAACACTTCCATTCAATCTGGCCATGTTTTAGTGCTTGCGGGTCTGTGCTCTCCTGTGTCTCCTGGTCAGTATGCTGGTGGCCACCTAATCAGCAAAACAAAAGTTTGTGTGGCTTTCTGTTTGTTTTGAGAAAGATTTCTTTGGTAGAACTTAATCCGGGATTATTTGGACAGGATCTGCCTAAAGTGCATGACCCCCCACAGGTTTTCCAATTAATTGTAAAACACGATTATAGGTCCTGGTAGAGGATCTTAAACAGGCTTCATCTCCTTGTACAATGGAACAGTGATTTAATGAAATACAGCATGCTTATAATCTCTGCACTCATTGTTTTTGTGTTTGCAGAGTACCACTTTGCTTAATTGTCACCCATTATGAGATAAGCTCTCCACCAAAACAATGCAGTGCTCTTGATAGATGGGCATGTGTGTGGATTTCTGTGCAAAATGTCCTGTTAGCTTCTATGCTTTCTGCTTGTTTTTCCGTTTTACTGCATCACATCACACATGACTATCATGTCACATCCACTGAGCCAACATCAAATGCATGGAAGAGCAAGGCGACTGAGAATCCCATGGGCTGATAGATTAAATCATCTGTGTGTGTACTTGCCTGTATAAATTCAGGTATAGTTAGAAAAGAGTACATATCCATGATTTCATTGCCTCTGGGTGCATTATGTGTTACCAAGACTGCTTACAGATCAGCAGGTAGTGTAGAATGAGCTGGCTGAAACTCAGGTAAAGGCAGAGAGGAGCAAAAACAGAGATCTGAGGCTGTGCTATAGACCTGCGGATATAGAAAGACCTTCTGTCCTTACACTTTTCCTGGTGATGCCAAAATTATGTCCTGAAAGTCTTTGAAGAAGGATCTCAAAGCAGTCTTGTCTACCATATAAGCCATACCTTCTTTGCTCTCTGCAGGCTGTAAATGCTCACTAAGGTGAAAGGAATCTTTGTCTCATTTAAAATAGTGGGTGTATTTCATCTCCCAAGGTCATCTGTTGGAAAAACGTGGAACATTTTGGTCTGCCAGATGAAAGAAGCACACCTTTGGCTTGGGGAACTGCCTGTCTCTCCCAGCTACCAGGTCTCATTGCATGCTGGTGTTTACTGATGTAGTTTAGTGGTAACTCCACTCAAATCAGGAGAGTTGCACTTCAATAAAACTGGCATGGCATTAAAATCATGTCTGTATATGTAAGCAAGTGTGTATCTGAATGTGAATCTGAGACTAAGATTTTCCTATGTATGAATATAAGTTTGCTTCATTCCTGCAATCCTTATTAAACCTAAACCCCATTAAGCCAGTAGAAAGCTTGCTTGAGAAGAGAAAAAAATTAAGCAGAATTTAGGCTACAATAGATGCTTGGTTTTTAGCTTGTGACTTCTAAATTAGAAAACGGAGTTTGTATATCACAGCTTGTTTAAATACAGATTAGATTGTTTTCACTGACATGTGATGATGTTTTTTCCTTTCTTTTTCCAAACTTATCGTTATGGTTTCTGTTACTTTTAGGTAAATTACAGTTTCGTCCATTAGAAGAACTGGATTAGTTCTGAAATAGTTTCAGACACACAACATAAGGCAATAAGTAATATTACAGACCTGACTTAAAAATACTCACAGTATTCCAGTGAGCTGAAAATTGCTACATTTGGTGGCAGAGCCCAGCTGAGTTAGTGCTGGGCTCTGCTTCATTCGTGTAATTTCTATTACACTGCAAGTCATATTTGTCATACTTGTGTTTGAGGTTTTGCACACTGAAATTATGTTGTAGAAATGCATGTCATATAAAATCACTGTTGCCAAAGAGTGAGTTCCTGATGCAGTGATGGGTGGAAAAAGCCAACTTTGCAGTTGAACTACATGATCGTTGTAGGTTCCTTCCGATTAGACTATTCTATTTTGTTCTACTGTACTGTACTGTACTGTACTCTACTCTACTCTGCTCTACTCTACTCTACTCTACTCTTCCTACCTTCCTATCTGGAATAAATTTATCCTGTGGTGGTGATTAACCTGAGTGACTATACAAGTGAATACTAGGAATAAGAGGTTTCATCCATATTTTGATAATAGCTATTGTTTTCCATATGATGGAATTCATTTCACTGAATGAAGGATTGGAATCAGTTCATAAATGTGCCCATTTTCCTAATTGTAATCCTTTGCCTGTGAATTCAGTCACTAGCAGAAATAACCTGGACATAGTTTTTCCAGTTAGTGTCATCTCATTAGCAGTTGTAAAGCTATGAGTTCTCTGCATAGCTCAGTTGGTAGCACTTTGAATAGTTCTGTTTAATATTCAGTTAAATTGCATTATTTACAGATGATTAGGTATAAATGTTAAAGTGGAAAGACTTATATGCTTTCTCTCCTGGTCTAGCATGCTGTTTTGGTTGCAATTGTGCACGCCTCATTAGCTCTACTCATTTGCCTCTAAGTTTTCTGTATGCTGATGTAACATGTAAACCCATTGATAAGTAACTCACAGAACATGTGCCAGGGAGCCAGTTAGCCAGCCAAGTGCACGTGTGTGTATCTGGTGCACATATTCTTGATTTCTTAACCGTCTGCCAGGATTTCTGGGTTGTAGTCATGGCAAAGAAACAGAGGGTACACAAAAATTTACTCAAGTGCTTTCCTGCCTGAACCAGGTCAGTGAGTTTGTCCTTTATTGTCCACTGAGGTGGGAGATAGCTGACCCTGGTTAGACTGGCTCAAACAGCCCGACAGCACTGTGCCCACACTGCTTCCTCTGAAAGTCTGCTGAGCGTCCTTAGCTTCCTCTGGCTCCATCGGGTTGTTCGATGGTGGCAGTGAAGTTCTTACTACCATGAAGTGGCATTTTCTGTGCTGGCATGTCTCCTTTCTGTGGACAGCCACTGCCCAGCAAGACTGTGTCTCTGAATGTTGCAATATGAGAAAGGGAAAAGTTAGACCTAAAAGCTTTGATTTTGCATAAGCCTTTTGTCCCTTTCCAGCCACTAGTCTCAATGTGAGAAAACACAGGCAGCTTGTGGCTGCTAAAATAAACACACACACATGGTCAGCCCGTACAGAGGCTTTGTAAAGCAAGGGTTACTGGTGCTGGTTTTAAGTGATTGCAAAATATTTAATGGAAAAAGCAAATATATAAATTCTGTTGTTTCAATGGTTATCAAACATTTGTCTATTTTTGCCTTGCTAAAATGATGATGATAATGATGCAGTTACCTGTATTACCTTTCTTCATTACTTCTGGTAAATTTTAATAGCTAAAAAGCATAAACCACTGTTTAAGTAGAAATTGCTATGTGAAGTGCAGAAAAGCACAGGTATTTTCTTCGAGGACCCTCTTACTGTTCAAACTGCCTGTTTCCGGCCTGGTGTCCTTCACATCACAGTTAAGTGCTCCAGGGGGAGGCAGAGCAGATTATGCACCTGAAAAACGCATGACGTTTGTGCATGTTTCTTTTTTTGAGGCACGAAATTGTTTTAGAAAATAGCCTAAAAAGGCTAGAATTAACAAGCTAATTTCAGGAGCATAGGAGTGAATCCTATGCTCCTGTCTAAGTCCTAAGCAAAGCACTTGAGAAAAGCCCTATCTAGATGCATCTTTACTGCTGTTGCAGTTTTTTGGTCACCAATAGGACAGGTACGGGACTGTGTATTTATAAAACGGAAAAGTTAGATCTAAAAACTTTGATTTTGCATAAGTCCTTTGCTCCTTTCCTGCAACTAGTCTCAAAACTATGCTAATTTAAATTATATTAATGTGGCTGCCCCATTCCTGGCAGCGTTCAAGGCCAGGCTGGACGGGGCTTTAAGCAACCTGGTGTCCCTGCCTGTGGCAGGGTTTTGGAACTGGATTATCATTAAGGTCCCTTCCAAACCAAACCAATCTGCGATTCTGTGAAAAACAATTCAGTTATTAAAATGTTGTCCACACCAAAAATGTTGAGCCAGTGTCCTGGAAGAATGATGGATAAAAGTCAGTTTGCAGTAGGAAAAAACCTGAGTTTTGCCTGCTTTGTTTGTTTAGTCACTTGGTAAATGACTAAACAAAGGTCTTCAGTTTGTTTGAAGTTGCATGTGTACCACTTGGACAGCAACTCCATTCTTCAGGCTGACACTTGCATTTTCTGTAGAGTTCATCCACACATTTCCATGTGGCAACTCAGAGGGTGGTAAGATCTGACTTGCTGTATGTAAAGAGAAAAAAACGTACGAACTGAATATGCCAGTCATGTCTTTTTAGGCTCTGAGGAACTAGGAAGTGGAAGCTATGGGCATCGATATATCACAGGCACAGTGACTGGTGATGATGATGGATTTGAAATCGATGACTCTGACTATGACATTTATATAGAAGAGGTAAATTTCAAGATTTCACTTTACATTTCTGTTTTCTTTGTACTCTTGATATTTCAAGTGTCTGGTCTTGTCAGGAAGTTTAAGAGCTGATATTATGTGCTCAGATATAATAATGTTATTTTTTTCTTCAGTGAGGATAAGTTTATTGCTTTGGCTCTGTATCTTGGAGGGTATTAATTTAATTTCCATGTAGCATTTTAGGTGTTACTGAATTTGTGATTCTTTATTTCCTTTCAGCTCAGACCTCTTCCTGCTATTAAAGGAGGCAACAGAAAATTTCTGGTTGAAACTAAGGTCACACCAGGGTCTAGCTCCAGGCTCTTGACACGGGTCCTTACAACCACTTCTGAACCCACTACTTCCACTCCCACCACCACACGGCCCTCAACCACAGCAAGGGCGACTACAGCTCAGGCTTCGAGGAGCGGCAGCACATCTTCTGCTGCTCGCTTCTTTGATCTGTCCTGCGATGAGGCCATCTGTTCTGCAGACAGCTTTTGCATCAATGACTATGACCGGGGTGGCTCACGCTGCCACTGCAACTTGGGAAAAGGAGGAGAGACATGTGAGGAAGGTAGGTTTCTGTGTGCCCACTGCTGTTGGCTTCCCTTTGTCCAGGGCAAGGAGCAGCTTTGGGAATATGTGGCTGGGCTTCACGGATTCGTAAGGACAGCAGCAGCTTCCACATCCCAGTTTAGACATCTCCCCCTTTGCTTTTCTTTCCTCAGCTAGGTGTAAAGAAGTTGTTTTTTAATAAAAGTGAATGCAGAACCTGTGTGAATGTGCACAGGGGAGGTTCATCTTCCTTCTCCAACCTAGGAGTGGGAGGGTATTGGAGCCAGGTATGTTGGTAGGCACCCAGGCCTGACAGGGTCCAACCATAGCACCTAGAACTTCCAGCAAGGACATTCAAACCCACTTTGATCCTTGTCTTTTGCCTGCAGCTGAAGCCCTGAACCAGCTGCATTCACAGTGTGGTTCATTGGATAATGCTGATTCTGCAGCAGGGATGTGAGAGTCCCCATTGTAAAACCAGTCCAGAGGAGGCTTTACTCATGGTCTGCAGGGCACAAGTGCTGCAATGGTAGCCTAAACACTCATGTCAGTCAGCCCTGCGCAAAGGAGGAACAAAACCACCTCCCCAGTTCAGGAAGCATGACCAGTCAGGATCTGTCATGTGTTCTCTAACCTCTGCAAGGGTGGCTGAGCCAGGGTAAGAGCTTGCTGAGCTGAAGGACACCATTTTGCTTCTCCTTCCCTTGCTACCTTCCTGTCCTTCTGCAGACCTAACCTCACCTTATTGCTGGGTCTGATGTTGAGCTGATCACCTGGCGAGCCAGTGCAGGTTGTTAACCAGGCCACAGGCATATCATATTTTCCCCCACCTGGAGTTAACTTTCTTCTGGTTTCGTGATAAAGGGGTCAGATGAATGCCAGAGCTTGTGCAGAGAAAGTGTTCTGTGGCTTGTAGTGGTGCTGTCCCACCAGCTGAGAAAGAGCTGATCCATCCATCCACATGTTGATTGATTTGCCAAGACCCTGACACACAGCAGAGCATCAGAGACACATTTCTTCTGCAGGCTTGTGTTAGATGTTCATGATGCACAGTGCTGTGCACTGGAGATACAGACACTGAGGGTGTTTGATCTCCTCCTGGTGCTGGAGTAAAGAGAGCTCATTCTGAAAACAATCTGTTTTGACTCAGTCACATGGACCAGCTGCAGATGTGATTTTTGGCCTTGATCAAGTATGAATAGTCAAGGATTTATTTGAACTGACATAACTATATACAACTTGTACAGCGGATTTGTTAATGTCAGTCCAAAACCACCATTTTTCACAAGGGAGTGTGTTATTCCTTGGTAAGCAGTAGCATCATGTACCAATATTTCCTTGTCCTGAATTTCTCTGCAGCAGCCAATATTGTTAAATAGTATATTAATCTGAATGAAAACAGACTTTTCTTTACACAGCTGCACGGCACTCTGGTACAGTCAGTTCTGCTTGTGATCAGGGCATGAGTTAGTTGCTGTCTGCTGCGGTTGCATTCAGGTTTATAGCACCAATTGTCTTCACTTCAGCCTAAAATTGTTGCATTGCAAACAAAAAACACTGAGAGAGCTGAGAAAGCTGTATCCAGGTCCAAATATGCAATAAAGCCCCACTCAGTATTCAATTAGCAAAGAGGAATAGGACTCCTCAATCTTCCTTCCTCATTAGACTTAGATCCACAGCAAAAAAAATAATTCAGGTCTGAAATGATGGCTGTCCTCAGTGCTTCTTTGGAAAATGAGCTGCAAACGTAACAGTAAGACATATCTCTGATTTTCTGTGCTGAAGCCAGTGTGGGACTCTAACATAAGATAAGAAAGGATGGATAAATCCAACTGACAAGAGCAATATGAAGGGCCACTGTTGCATGCAGGGATGGAGTGATGCCTGCAGGGACTCTCTTATGCCTATCACTGCCTTTAGATTCTGCCATGAGCTGACTTGTGGGAAGTGCTGGAAGCTGCTTGGCTTTTATAAACCATCCAAGGATTCTGCATATGCTGGACACAGCAGCTATGGAGCAGCAGTGACTAATGTGGCTTAGAGTCTGGACACATTTCCTGCATATGTTTTTAGAATCCTGCAGAATAGAAAATTACTTTGTTGTCTCTTTGTTAAATGAATTCTTAAAAGAAGATAAATATAAAGTTGATGAGTTCTGTCTTCCATAACAAGGATGAAAATCTGGAGAAATTTCCACTAAAGTCAGTGACTGAACTGTTGAGCACTATTTGGCCCTCAGTATCCTGCTTCTTTCCAAGTTCACCAGGTCCTTGGGAATAAAGGAATTGGTTGTGAAAGGTGGTGGGAGGACAAGGCAATAGGTTAACTGATTGTTGACTGCTGCAGACTAATGGTTGTCTCTGGAGGAACTCTGCTTTTCATTTTCACCTGATGTAATCTAGTGCTAAATGTGTATATCGATTCCTATATAGGAGAAAACTGCTAAATAACATGCTTCTGTCTTTACTTTTCAGACATTACTATCCAGTATCCTCAGTTTTCTGGCTACTCATATATCACCTTTGAACCACTGAAAAACTCCTATCAGACATTTCAAATTACCCTTGAATTCAGGGTAAGTTAAGTTTAAGCAATCCCAAGCTCACATAGGAGCTTTGATTTTTAGTTGCTTGTTCTGATGCTATGGACAGCAGAACAATAACTTAGCTTCAGCATAGCTGAATTAATAATTGTGGTGAATTTATACATACTCTTAACCTCTAGATATATTGCTTCACCTTCAATGAATGCAAAGGATGTTGGTAAACTGAGCTAAAATGTTTGGATCCATTATTGGTAGGCAGTGCATGAGAGAATCCCTGGAACTACAAGTATTGCAGACTAGCAGCAATGTACATTGACATGGTTATAGCCATGTGAATGAGCTACAGGCTGAAGTACACCTGGAATTTTTGTGAATTACAGTTTGGAAGTGGCATGTAATATCTTTGCATTTAAGAAGCTGTGATCTTCTTGTACTGAGGAAAATACTGCCCTATATCCAGAGTTCCTTTCTTACTCTGCAGGATTTAAGTAGGCATTATTTTCCACCTCTGAAGTTTGGGACACCAGCTACTAATACATGCAAGATACTGGACTACTTAAACTATAGGTCCGAAGTGGAGGGGTACATCCCACGGTGACTTGTGCTAACACTGTCTGTGTATTACAAACAGAGCTGGTAGGGCTGCCTGTAGGGAGGGTGGCTGTGCTCTAGGATGCTCCCCTCCTTCTATGTAAGGCAGAGTTGCCAGCCTCACAGCCTAGGTATGAGACTGTCACTAGCGCAGCAGTAGTCTGCTGCCTCACATGATGATCTAATATTCCTCTGGCTATTTGTCAGCTTAAAATGCAGGACGGCTGCAAAAGCCACTGTGTCATCTGCTGTGCACATATGGAGAAATCCTGCCTGCACAGGTGGTTTGGTTTGAAAAGTGTCAGGCTTACTGAACATGTGAAGCAAGGTATGTGTATTCATGTGCAGTAACTCTAATGTGTTTACACTTAACAAACATCCTGGAACATCCTTGCTAGGCTTTGTGCTCAAAGGTATCATGTGGGACATGTTTGACAGCCTTTAATGCTTTCAGGCTTCTTTTTAGGTCTGATAGTATCATACTGTAAATAGAAGAGATGTTCTTAAACCATTTAAGCTTTAAGACAATGTTTTTCTAGGTTCTTCAAATGCAGGATTCAAAATTGATCAAAAAAATTCTGATTCTGCCAGTGAAAAACTCCATCTGAAAAATTTTGTCCCTTTTCTAGAGAAAAGTCCCCAGTGCTGCTTGCATTTTTCTGTTACTGTGAGGCTTAGACTTTGATTTTTCATGATGATGCAATGATTGCAGGCTGAATCAGAAGATGGTTTGCTGCTATACTGTGGAGAAAATGAACATGGTCGCGGTGATTTTATGTCACTGGCAATCATCCGACGTAGCATTCAGTTCAGGTAAAGCCTCCACCTTCCATCTGATATAAAGAGAAGGGGCCATTGCTGCCTCCTGGGAGTGCTATATGTGATGAATATTTCCCATGTCTTTGATTTTTGCCCCATGCAGTGCACAAATGGATAATGCTACTTCATTTAACTTCAATATTTTTTTTCTCTCCTCCTTCTTTAGTATGTGGACATGTGCACCATTGAATTCTCACTCAGACCTTGGTGCAAAGGCAAAATTTTCTTCAAGGCACTAGTCCTGGGAACATTGTTATGTTATCAGAAATGACAGTGAGCCCCTGTATTTGCTAAGCTTATGCTATGTCGAACTGTGCACAGTCAATGCTTTTGTTTCACAGCAAAATAACCTGCAAGTAATGTAGCAAAATAAAGGATTTAATGCCAGCAAGGGGCCTGGAACTTTGTCTTGCATCCCTTGTTTAGATTAGAGTTGCAGGTTTTTAAAATGAAGTTGGAGGGAGTTTTTTGTAGTCCCGTAGATAGGAAGCATGTGAAAGAATATCAAGGATCTCCTTACTTGGGAGGCTGAGCCCTTTGAATGTGGGGAATAACAAAGTGGGTGATGTGCCTTAATTGTGTTTCTATTCACCTGCACTGAATGTCAGTTGAGAAAATGGCACCTCCTGGAGGTCTCCTTGTCAATCAATCCTGAGTTTCATATTGAATTGTAGAGTTGTTAATGTAGCATTGCCTTTTACCAGGGAGCTAGAAAAACTCCCAAGAGAAATTACTAGTACAGATTGTATTACCCCCTGTCTTGAAACAGGTTTCAGCTGTTGGGAAGCTTAGCAATGCACTTGGTAGAGCCAGAGAACGTAAAATTTTCTCCGTGGGAGAGAGACAGATAATGAAGTTTGAAAGTTAGAACAGATCATATACAGACCTGCTGTCTAATTTTCTTGTGGTCTGCTACATGCAACATAAAGCAGAGAAGTTCCCAGGAGTGAAGAGAATATTTGGAACCCAAACCCAGCTTTCAGTTATGTGATTAATGTGTGATTGTCACTTTTCCCTCTCTGTCTCACACTCCCAGGTTCAACTGTGGCACTGGAGTTGCAGTCATAACTAGTGAAAACAAGATCAAACTGGGGAACTGGCACAGTGTCACGTTGTTCAGAGATGGGACTAACGGCTGGCTCAGGATGGACAATGATGCTCCAGTGACAGGAAAATCTCAGGTAGGTAATCGTGCACCTTCAGCTCAGCCTTGGGCTCTCTCAAGATTATGTTGATATTTTTTCTTGCCAGCAAAAGTCTGATCAGGTTTTTAAGGTTCATTTTTATTTGTCAGTTTTGGGACATTTAGTGAACCAGGATCAGTGTACAGATTACTCTTCCACATACTTAGTCTAGAAACCACACTGCTAAATATCCCAGTGCTGAATCACAGTTTCCCTGTTGTCCTCTATGCTTGCTCTGCCACCCTTCTGCTACACTTTGCTAGTCTCAGATATAGGCTGCAGTTAAGTTTGCCAGGTTTTACAGCTGCTGTTCCTGATTACTTTCTTTTTCAAGCCTCAGAGAGCTGCTCTGCTTCCTTAGCTAGAAAAAAAATAGATGCATATGTATATATGTTTATGTATAATATGCATATAGCCACACAAGGTTTGTATACAGAAGTGTAATTACTTGTGCGCCATGGACATAGATATAAGCACAGTAATGGAGATAGGCATTCTGTCCTGATTTATGTTAAAACCAACAATTTCATATGAGGCCATGAGGATAAAATATAATAGAGGAAGATGTCATGACTTGCCTATCTGTTGGCAGGCCAGAAAATGGAAGTGAAATTAAGGTACTGAAAAAAGAAGTTGCAAATTGTTTCAGATGATTTTTCTTTTCCCTTTGATAGCTACTATTAGCATGCTATCCCTGGCTCTGATAAAAGTGGCTTCAGACATTTTATTACTTTACACTTACTTACACTGAAGGGAAAAAAATGCCAGGCTTTGAGTTCTCATCAGCTGGAAATAACAGAAGAAAGGATTTCAGTGTCTGCCGTATGTTGTGATGTGTTACAAATGCTGTGAGGCCAGGCAAAGGACAAATGTGAGAGATACATCCAGTAGAGACTAAAGCCATTGTACAGCACTTTGGTAAGAAGGCATCTGGCTGTGCAGGGCTGTGATCACCCGTAGCCAAGAAAGAAGAAGTCAAAGAAAACAAGTGCAACAAAGGGCTAGGAGGAGGATTATGGTTTGCAAAGTCTTTTAGAAGAAGAGTTTGACAGTGGACACACATTTTTCTCTCTGCAGCTACAGCAGAATAAAAGTTATTTGCTCCAGGTGCTGCTCTCCACCAGAACTTGCTGCTACTGTAGTATTATTCCTCCACTAAGTACTCCTCGTCCCTTCCTAGTTAGAATGACCTGGATTAGTGTCAACAGAGTGGTAGTGTTTCTGACCTAGTTCATTTTGACTTGAACAGTCTAAAGAGTGCCTACAAGAGAAGGGGAGTTTGACAGACCAAGACAGGCAGGAACACAACAGGTGGTGGGAGATGGCAAGTAGTAGGAGGTAGACTGGAGAGCTGTATGCCCACAGCCCTGACATATGTCCCCTACGAAACCCTGTGGACACCGGAAGTCTCTTTAGCCACAGGCTCCACCTGGATTATTTTTCACTGTTGAAACTGAGATCCATTTGATATGATTCTGCAGTGCACTGTTCAGTGGACACCCGTAGATTCAATAACCTGGGCTTACTTAGCTTGGCAAAATATAGGCTGTATAATTTATTGTTATAAACTCTATAAGGGTAGGACTAGGGTGAAGAATACAGAAATATTTTAGGTCATTGCTGTCAGAAGGACACATTGATAAAAACTGGCCATGAGTAAACATGGGAATTTTGAGTGTTTTCTTCTAAAGGACAGCAAGGTTTTGAAACAACCTCTGAGTAGGAGGCAAAAGACATGTATTCTGATCAATTAATAGATCAAATTATGAGTCCATTGCCCACAATAGCGTGGAGTTTGACTCCATTGCCAAAAAAGTTCTGCTAGATTGTTTTTGTTGTTGTTTCTTCCTGTGCACTGTAACGGTGCTAGTAAACTTCTATGTATGCATTTCTGTACGTAGATTAACACCAAAAGAAAGATGAGGAGTAAATTTAGTGTTTGCAAAGTGAGCAGAACCCTACCGAAGCTGTAATTTTATTGACTTTTTCTTGATAAGTTTTACTGAGTTTTTTTGTAATTTCACTATTATTCAATGCAAAGCATTTGCTGGGTTTTGTCCAAAAAGCAGAATCACGTTAGTCTATGTCCTGCAGTGCTTAGAGCTTAAAAGGCAAATGATTTTTGCAAAAGCAAAGGATGAAATTACAGCAAAAGCAAGATCACAATCCCTCCTCAGAGGGATTTTTAAAGTTTTTATTCTGCTTTTAATAATTGAGTTATCATGATGGATGTGGGTGCAAAAAATAACATTTATAACGGTAGACTGATTGGAGGAATGACTAATGGAAAAGAACTACCAGTGAGCAGTGTATACCTCCACCCCAACACAATTCTTTGTGGAGAAAAAAAATTGATTATACCTGGTGTGGCTTAATTAACTACCCTGTGTTATGTCTGTTCTACATCATGTCGTGCTCTGTTTTCCCTTCAGGGCCAATACACTAAAATTACGTTCCAGACTCCCTTCTATGTTGGTGGTGCCCCCAGCGTGTACTGGCTGGTCAGAGCCACAGGCACCAACCGTGGGTTCCAGGGTTGCGTTCAGTCACTCAGCATCAACGGAAAGATAATTGATATGAGACCCTGGCCATTAGGGAAAGCTCTCAGCGGTGCTGATGTCGGTAAGTGTAACTGTATAGGGTCTTCAATCAGCGATAAACCAAGGGCTGCTTTTTCACATGTTGAAGTTGAGCAATGGTCTAGGTTTGAGAGATAGAAGGTGCAATCTCTGTTTTTGGCATGGTATTTCTCTGTGTCTTTGCACATTGGTTTTGATGAGTCTGTAGTAGCAGGTTGTACTCTGTGCAAGTAAACATCACTGTTTAGTATACCAAAATCCCTTGTGGACACCATTATCCCACACAATAAATAGTAAAACCCATTCTCATGGGCAAACAGCAAACTCTGCGTTGCTGATAGAATTATGTCTCATGAGTATTTCTGCCAGCATCTCTCAGGATGCCTTTTCATGCTTCTGATTGCCACAGTCATGTCATCAGAAATCAGCAGTACGTACATGGTGTTTGTATTTAAAACACTGTGGACCCAACAAAATGTGTTTTGCCTAAAGGCATCATTGCACTTGTCCAAAGCAAGAAGGGATCTTTCAGGCCCACATCAGTACTATGGCCATTACAGCAGGCTTTACCCATTAAGCCCCATTACTGCTGAGGCAAATAGGCTTTTCTGTTGACTATTCATTGTTTTTTAATTTCCAGAGTCACAGTATGTTTTAAAAATAGCATGGAATAAATTCTTCCAGCAGCTTTATGAAGTGGTATTATAATATTATCTTCCCTTCACAGTTTAAAAGATGGAGAAGTAGGGAAGTTAATTAACTAGTTGTATCTTATTTATTCATGTTTGTTTCATGTGTGTAATGGGCACTTGAAAAACAAGACAGGGCAACAAAATCCTGTTTTAATGACCTCCCAGTGTAAACAGTTTGAGTAAACCCAGGTTGGAAAGGCAGGAAATAAATTCCATATTACTGAACTTTCCATGCTATGCTACAGTCACAAAGTCAGCTTTATTCTCTTCTATAGCTGTGCATTTGGCTTTCCAAGAAGGAAGTGATTAATGAGAAACTTCCTGACAATTACTCTGTATTCTCTAGATATCATGACCAAACTTACGTGCAATGCAGGGAGAGAAAAGAGTGGCCCAAGAAACAGATGATGAAATGAATAAGACTTTGGAAGCAGAGAGTAATTTCACGATAGAGTGAGAATCTATGGAATTTAGATAGATAGATAGATGAAAGCCTTGCTGAAGTTCTCTGAGCCCTAATCTCTATGGCCTTTTGGGTTGCAGCTAGCTTCATTCTCATCCATGAATGCTCCACATACTATGGCATTAACAATCAGCATCAATGAAAATAAATGCTAGATTCTGTCATGTGTGACTCGAAACTGAGTGATAGAGCCTTACTATCCTTACGTGACTGCACACACTTATATGAAACTCTACCAGGGAAGACTTCCAAAAAATATGCCACATAAGTTAAGCTTAAAATAAATAAATTGCAAGTGAACTCTACTACTGATTAGGGATTTCTTTTGCTAGCCAGTATTCTGTTTCTTTCTATTGGCACAGCGTATAAATGAGGGGTACTGTGGTACATTGACCACAGAACTGAGAGTGGGGAGGAGAGGGATCCATCCTGCCCCTGTGCCAACTCTGCTGGCTACAGTAGAATTCCCACCAGACCATAAGCTAAGGGGCTGATGGAGAAAGCAGCACTCATGGTTTGGAGCAGGCACAGCAGGACTCTGGACTCCCAGTGCAGGTTCTTTCCTTCGTTCCTTATCTGCCACTGCAGTCAAGCAGATGCAGCCATCAGACCTGTGTTTTGCCTTTTTAGCGCAGTCACCTGTGCTGGCCCAAAGGCTATGAGAACTGACATGGTGAGAGCAGTCTGTCCTTAAATATCAAGGACTCCTCCAGTTTAAGCTCTCCCTCAAACCAGTGAGCCTATGACTAGTCCAGTTCTTATTATCTTCCTTGTCCTTTTCTGTTTCTCAAAGACTGTCTAACTTTGATATGTTTGAACATACTGCCAACATTGACTGACAGTACAGCAGATGCTGTAAAGATGAGTGTTGTCTTGGTTTTCTGTTTGTATCTTGGACTAGTACATCTAGATCCTTATTTACCCACATGACTTGGCTCTGTTTCCTCATCTGTAAAATAGAACTAGTGCTATATATTTCTGCCATTGTTGCAATAGAGTGTGTGAAGGATCTCAGAGACTAAATACCCATCCTGCTCCAGTCACCACAGCTGTTACAGTGCAGCCCAGAAGGGGAAAAGATGGCTCAACGAGCACTGTGAGCACCCCTGCTCCCATGGCTGTGCATGGAACAGCACTTGAAGGGGTAATTGTCCTGTTCCACACAGAAGAGGAATTTATTCCCTTCTGCAGAACATGTATATTTTGCTTATGCTCCTTGGGTTAGCCCAGGAGCCCTGTGTTATGACTGCTGAGCTCAGACCTTCCCTCTCTACGATGAAAAATGTGCCTGACAGGAGATTTGTAGATGTGCAGCACAATACAAGTCAGTGCTGTCAGGGAGTTGTACCAGATGACCAGAGAGTAAACTATTTGTTCTACAACAATTTCAGCTTAATTCCATCAGGAAGAAATCAACTCATTGTTTTAATTGATGTGCCAGCATAGTAGAAATGCTTCTTAAAAAGCTCATATGTTGGTGCTATGGATCACTTTTAGTACAGTCAAGATAGTTGACAAACTTATTTTAGTTAATAAGATTAGATGATGATGATTAACACCTTCCAAGCTTTCCATAGCATGACTTTACAGTGAATAAAGAAGTGTTTAAGTTAACTGAAATTAAACAAGTCACAGTGTTTTTAAACAATTGAGAGAGATTCCTATTTTATGAGAAAATAAAGATTGGAACAAGAGCAGAAAAAAGATTGAGAGAATGATTGAAAGCTACAACTGTCATTGTTTGTTAGTAGGGGCTAATTTTTTTCTGTTTTTAAAGTCTCTTGCTGGTCTGGTATTAAAAAGGTGGTAAAAGTCAAGTAACCTTGTCTAAGCTGCACACCATTTGACAAAATGGGAAAGA